TACCTTGTTTGTTTGTGGTTTTTTTTGAAGAAAGGTAATGCTTTGGGCTCAAGGGCTTTGTCAAGACAAGGTCTAGATGATTGAAAGGACTGGAGGTGTGTTACAGAGCTATTTGCTGAGCTCGGCTGTAGCTGTGGCTGGTAGGTGGTCTGAGGAGGCGCCTAACAGGGAACATCTAAATTTCAGAATGCAGCAATGTCTTGTTAGTACTGGCAACAAAGAGGCCCATTACTTAATTGGCCAAGAGGTCCCATGTTCTGCTTTTTTTTTCAAAAAGTAAATATTTGAAATACAGGGATTTTTTTTTTACTTATTACATAACACCTTTTTGAGTAAAAAAGAAAAAAAAGCAATAACCCTACCTAGAAAAGTAAGGGCAGGAAGACACATTTAGCTCCACACAGTGAGGATTTGCAGGCAGCACCACAGGGGTTCAGCTGCCACAGAAGCACAGCCATCCCTGTCCCTGTCCCTCCCACCCTTCCTCACAGTTGCCATGCAAGTGCTCACAGCTGGCAGCCAGGGAGCCCCTGAATCAGGCTGCTTAAGACTCCAAGGTCTGGTGAAGTGCTTACAGAGCTTGGCAGGCACACAGTAGCAGGACATGTCTTGTCTCATTCCCTCCCTGCAGGGAAGCGTGCCCTTTTTGCACGTGCTCCAGTGTCCAGTAGTGCCAGGAAACCTCCTTCTACTGGACAAGTACTTTAAAATCTATTTAGGTAAGAAATATTGCACTTTTCTAGGGGCCCTGTCTGGGTTTCATTCGCTGGTGAACAGAAATCAGTACCACGCAAGCAAGGCTGAGTTTTTCTGGGCTACCCAACTGTATCCATTACCCTTGTCTGAATTAGCAGCTTCAGGGCAATGTCCCGTCCGTGCTCTGAAAGTACCAGAAAGGCAGCGGCACTGAACTGATCAGAGCACCAGCAGCCATTTGGCATTCTCCCCAGAGCTGTCTGTGCAAACAAGGCGAAGGGGAAAAAGCCCGTCCCTCCCTCTCTCCACCTGCCCAGTGACTCAGAACAACTAGAAATGGCAGCTTAACTCTCCTTGCTGCCAGAACGCAGACCGATATACCCAGCAGTCAGAGTGAGGGCACCGGGAGTGCCAAGAAAGTAGGTATGCTCAGCCGTTTTTGGGGGTGGGGGAAGGGATGGGGACACTCATATCTCTATAGCAACCCCTGCCTGGCTGATCCAGCTAAATGATGAGGAACAAGGGCTGCTCTAAAATTAGATCTTCCAGGGATCCCTACATTAGGGGCAATAACTCCAAGACAAAAGAAATAATTCAAACTTCATTTCCCTCTACCTTCACCAAAAAAACTTTTGTTATCTCAGAAACTTTGCAGAAAGAAAAAAATACATATAAACCTTCTGCATTCCTAGTGCGATAATTCGGGCAGCCTGACTGAGAGCAAGTGATAAATTCTGGTTGAAGTGATAGAGTTCCAAGTACAAAAAAATCTGCATGTCATGCCCTGCTTCTAAAGAAACACAGAATTTAACATGGCTGATAATGGCACTGATATGGGCTTCCCAGTCAGGAATAAGAGGCAGCTGCTTATTTAGGTGGAATTCCTTTGAGAGAGTGGGTTTACTGGAACCAAAGAACCAGTTTGATCTGAAGATCTTGGCGAATGGCATCCACGTTAATAAAAATTAACCAGGAGCTGTGTAAGAGAACCACGGTGCAGGGAAGAAGACATAAAGAAACTCTCAGGACTGCAAAAAGCTTGGAAGATAAATCTGACAGAATTAATAGCTGGGGGAGGAGAGGGAGGAGCAGCTGAGATAGCTGTAGGACCAGTCATAGCTAAAGCCAGCTGCGGCAGGAAGAAACGACTTTTAAGGGGCAGATGATCACAACTTGTCTGCTTGTTTTCACTCTTATCTGAAACACCTAAATGGCTGGAGCAGGTAGAAAAGGCATTTAAGCCAGAGAGGAGTCAGAGGAATCGGTACTAACCTCAGGGTAACAACTGAAATCCTGGAAGGGGCACAAAACAGGCTCTGCACCCCAAGACTGCGCAAAGAGAATCCCGTTACTGTAGCACACACTCTGCTCAGACAACAAAGACTTTAAGGACTATGGGCACGCTGAGCTGGGACCCTAATTTAACCATCAGAAGAGCGCACGCACTAGTAGGGAAATCGGTTCCGCCTCCGCATAAAGGCGCCTGTTCCCAGATCTCTGCTGAGCCAACAGACTGCTTTTAGCCTGTACTTGTATCTGACAAACGAGCAGCCTCTGGTTTTCCGCACGCATTCGGCTAATAGCCTAGAACACAATAGTTGGTTTCCAGTTACAGCAGGGAAGGCTTTAACTTATTCACAAGAACAGGACAGCAAGTCAAATAGCTTAGTAGGTTTTAGAAAGGGATTGGATGTTTGCATGGTGAAACAACATCCACAGCCGTATTAGCTAGCATAAGGGTTACAAGCTCAGCGATCCTCACGCTACGGGACAAAATGATCAGTGACTGGGATCACAGTCAGACAAAAGCGGTAGCCATTCCCCGAAGCTCCTTGCAGCAAGGTCACATGGCCATAAGCAGGCACTGTCAGAAACCAGATAACCCATTGTGCAGCTCTAGCTGGGCTAACCCTGCGTGTCCCCAGAAAGCTCCGGAGAGGCTAGGCACAGAATGAATTGGAAAGAAATCCTTGTTATACAAAAAAAAAAAGAAAGAAGAAGCTTTATTGGTATGCACCCTACAGAAATGGTTACAAGAAAGGGCCTTGGATTAATCTGTCAAAGAAAACATAGAACAGCTGTGCTCTCCCTAGGAAGGCACCAGCCGTGAGCAGGTTCCTTACAAAACAGGGCATCATGGAAATATACTGGAAGGGACAGGGGGGAGTGGGCACATGGGACTGGAGCTCTGTTCTTCAATACAGATGCATGGGGCCATTTCAAACAATTGAGAGGAGACCTGGTAAGAACTACCCACACCAGAAATGGCACTTGCTTTTTACTGAGCTAGTCTCCTGCAAGCGTAAATACTTGCTCACTAGGTTTTTTGTAGAGAGCTGGGGCAGCTACTAGCAGACCTTCTGAAAATATGAGACAGTAATCCTCAGTTGCTCTTTCTGATAGTCAGTTCTGATCAGGTTTCAGTCCCCACTCAGTCTGTTACTTCTCCAATCCCAAGTATACTACTGAATTTGTACTGCTATGGAAAAAAATAATCAACTGGTTTTCAATAATAGTAAAGTCCAGAGATGTTCCAAGACCCTCTTGCCAATCCGACAGGAGGTGTAGCCGTGCACTGATAGGATCACCTCTTCTTGAAGCCATACTTTTTCCTTTCGTAGAAGAGATCTGTCTTGGAACTGCCCAGGTTGACGATCTTAGGGCAACCGTCTCTCTGTAAGAAGAAAAGAGGACGTAAGTTAGGAAATGGGCAAACAGAATATCATCATCACTTACATAGTTCTAGTAGATTCTCAGTTCCCATGCTCCTCACCCAGTCCTCAACACAAATTTTGAACACCTGAACAGACAAACTGCCCTCCAATTCTGGTTACTACCAGCAAGAGAGTGGAACAAAGAGGATGGATGACTTTTTAACATTACTCTGGGACATTCTCTTCCTCAGGGTGAAGATGGAAAACAGCTCATATAAAATCAGTAGTTTAATGAAAAAGATGCTCAGTGCCTCAAGACTGTATTCCTTCTAAATTAAGACATGCAGGATTTATAGGGCCCAAAGAAATAACCTGTCCCCTCCTTAGCCAAAAAGAATCTTGTTGCTTTAGATGTCACCAAGTCATTCTCATGTTTAGGGACTCCCCCCAGCTGTGACAGCAGAACTGAATCTCAGATTTCCTGCATCCTAGATTGTTTACTGCAGAGGCTGTATGGTCATCTTGGGAGAGGACAGCTATTCAGAAAATTTCTTGTACCTGAATTCCAGCAGACGGTGAGAAAAAAGCCACAAGAAAAGCAAGAAGGGGAGTGAGGGAGACCCACGTCAGAGGTGTGGTTGCAAAGATAAATCAGAGATGCACCTTTGGGTGTACTAGCGAACATTTGGCCACCTGAGCCCAACATCTCCGTAACTCTTGAGGAAAAAACATTGTGGCTGGCAACAGCAGCTATGAGAGGCCCAGCAGGCAGAGGAACACGTGTCCTTGGCTGTTGTGTAAGCCTGAGCGGATTAGATTTAGAAAGCCTCTGGGCAGATGTCAGTTGCTGTAGAAACTGCACCCAAGCTGCCCCACCAATACCTGCTCCAGTACAGGAGATGCAACTCAGTGGGGAGAGTCTGCATGGTAGAAGCAACAGAAGATGGGAAAAGAAATCATCCCTCCCCACACACCCGTCACAACCCATTTCTAGCTACTGCTCCTTATTTAATTTTGAATCTCAACAGTAGGACTCTTCCAAGCCTTGCCTCCCACGATCCGGGGAGTCTGTGACAATCTTGACAGCATTATTGCAGGGGTCTCTTCATTCTTCCACCTCCTCCTAAGGAGGCAGCACATGAGAATGCTCCTGTCTCCAAGAGTGGATTACATTTTGCAACTTAGAGCTGTCCTGCATGTCAAGGTGGGATTTTAGCCCTTACCCACAGATCGAAGCAGAGTGAAACAATACCTCATTCCTCTGTCCACCACAACAAATGAACCAGGAGTAACCAGGCTCTTTGCTTCATGCCCAACAGCATTCCACCTCCTCTCTCCATTTTAGTATTTGCTTTCTTGCTTCACTATCTTTTCCAGTCTTTCTCTGAGGATGATGGAAGTGCTGTGACTGAAACCTTGGAGTGTTAGAGCTTCAGGTTTAGGGCTCTGTCCATCTGCTTTTCTTATTCACATCGGCACCAGCTAATTGTGACAGGGAGCACACAACTTTTCTAGTTCTGGGCACCCTACACCTGTGTCAGCACTTTTCAATCCTGCAAGTCAATCATGTCCAATCTGATGTTTCAGATCTGCAACTTCACATCTGCAATAATCCCTAACGTTTGTGTTTGCTGGTACAGAGCAACTGTCTTCACCCACAGCAGCCTTCACCCAGCTGTCAAAATACCTCAGTTCTGACTTGTCATTCTCCTGCTCCTCCCGCTCTACATTTTCTACAATCCTCCCTTGCAGAGCAGCTGGCTATTTCACACCTGAACCAGACATGATAAGATAGAGGCCAGCTTAGGTTATGACAAATACCTCTTGGGAATCAATATGAATTGGTAAAAATAAAACCAAGCCTATTTGACTCATGACTTATCAAGCCAGGTGTCTTTGTTCCAAAGGCAAGTGAACAAAACTACTGTTTCTCACAGCATTTCTGAAGTAGGAGGCAGTACCACCACCACAGCATGTATATCTATATTTAGATACTAAGAAAGATTATGGTCCTGTCAGATCTAATGACCAAATTCAAACAAGGACCTGCCCCTGTCCTGAATTTAGCTGCAGACCTCTAGAGAAAACATACGTGCTGCAGAGAATTAAATCAGCAACTCACGCACCTGAGCATGTTCCACTAAACCGATCTGAACCATTCTCTCAGCATGTTCTGCACTGCCATGAGGGTGTGCTGGAGACGGCATTTGCAAAGCACCAAAATCCAAACAACCTTTAACAGACACTCTCACAGCTATCAGGTCTGGGGATATTACAACTGTAAGCTCTTGCTTCTCCCTAAGGTCCTTCTACCACTTCATTCATGTCCTGCATTCATTGTGTTTGATATTAACAAATACCTTACAGGAGGTGAACAGCTGCCTCGTTTCACATGTGCAGTGGCTATCTTTCAGCACAAGCAGATTATAAAAAGAATATAGCACTGACTATAGAAATACGGGATCATTACTCCAAACAGTGTTAGCAGAGAGAGAGATGTCTGTAATATAGGTCACTCCAGAAAAGAATAACAAAAAATAAATCATATCCCACTGAAATTGTACACGAAACTTTAAACTTGTAAAACAATTAGCAGCGAGGACACTGGACACTAAGCTCTAAGGTGGTGATTCCATAGGCTTTACAGTACCGTACAGGCCCTTGGTCAGTGGCTGATAATGGACTTCTAGTGAGAGGCTGCTTTTACCACTGCCTTTGCAGTGTCTGGAGTATCTCTGACTCTGATTAAAACCCAGGCTGAGAGACCTAGTAAGATAACAACTTAAAGTGGTAACAAGCAGTGTGTGGAGGAAGCGAATTGTGAGCATGAAGTGCAAAGCAGTCAAAGGTCCTTTGGGATGAAGAGAGACACAACACCTCAAAGTGCTATGATATCTCAAAATGCTTTGCAAACACCGGGAACTACCAACAGGGGAAGAAAGGTACAAGGTAACAAAAGCAAGTGCCAATACTGGTAGCAGAACCCAAACATCTCATGTCCCAGTACTAATTTCACTACCTTTGAGCCCCTTAAAGATAAGCATGGCTACCAAATAAAGACATAACCAATCCAATAGCAGACTGGATGACAACATACATCTTTTTCCTGGATGGTACACTCCTTGCAGTAGTAAGCGTCAGACACTCCCGGACCCCCGCAGATCACACAGCGCCCTTGGTACGAGCCGTAGTTACACTCATCACATATGCGCACGAGAGTGCAGGGCCGCACATAGGAGTCACAGATCACACATTTGCCATCACCTGCAAGTACAGCAGAGCCTTTGGTTACAGAACGTCCTCTTCTCCACCCCCACACAGAACAGGAAAAGCTTCCCAGTCAAAGAACTTGCCTGTACGCTCAAAGACAATACAACTGAACTGCAGAAATTCATCTTGCAGGCACAGGGTGCAACTTCGTATTTGCACACAGACTTGAGGGGAACAAGGGCCAGTAGCCTGAAATATCTGAGTTTTTTTATTTATTCATGCATTCACAATCAGGGAAGAAACCCAAAGTCACCTCTGTGGTTAGCCAACACCTGCTTATATCATACCATTACTTTTACTCTAGAACTTTTCCTTAATTTTTCACTGGTGAAAAAAATGCTGGACTGACAGGACTAGTGTCCTTATCTATACAGAAGCAGCAGTGTAAGCTCCTCTCCAGTGCCACATCAACAAAAGTCTGGAGTTACTATCATCCAACAGATGAGATAAGAGATTGTACTCACGGTCCTTTTAATCCTTCATCCGTGAGAAGGCCAAAGAAAGGGCAAACTGGCATAAACAGCCATTTCACAAAAGTTGCTCTTGCTTTCTCACAAGGAACTGAGTGAAATTCAAGTACTCATATGATACAGGCAGGCAGCCATCAGATGCCATTGACAGTCTCTGCCGTGCTGGACCTTATCCAAAACACTGACCTAGGGATGAAACGCTTCATATCCTTTTACCAGTTCTCAAGGCATCTAATCCTGACTCCCACAAACGGCTCATCTAACCTGCTCTTAAACCTCCAGCAAGACAACCCTGAACTACTACCAACGAGAACCTATGTCACTGCTGAGTGCTCTTGGAAACAATCTTGTTGCTTCAGACTGCTTCTCCTCACTTTGTTTATATTCATATTATTTTTGAGTCACGAACTAGTCGTGTTATTTGCTCTGTTCCCCTAAAATGATCTAATGACAGATCATACTCTTTCTTCTCTTCTACAGTTGAGCACTGGCATTTGATTCTGTGGGTTTTTTTCTGCTCTAACTCTAGATGTTCCCCCATCACCACCATTTCTTACTCTCCTAGATGCTGAAGGGAACCTTTCTCAAGGTGTGAAGAAGTCAGATTCCAAAACTGCCTTTTTTTTCCCCTGCTTCGAAACGACTGATCATTTTCTATTACAGATTACAAGGAATCAATCAAGAAGTCACTGTAGGGTCAGCTACTGAAAACGCTGGCAGCGTATACTCAAGAACAGCATGCATTTGTGTGACAACCTATTTGAGCACATAACTTTGTAAGTATTCACTAATTTGCACTTGCAATACAGAAGTTAAGTCTTCCCATGTCAAAGACTGACACCAAGTTCGTGGCTAAAGCAAAAATAGAATCCAATCCTCAAATTCAAACTGTATGTTCTAACCACAACATGTTCTCAAGAAACTATATGTAGAAGCTATACTTACATTTTTCACAAAGTCTTCCAATTGCTGTAAGAAGAAAAAGAAGAAAAAAATTATTTGAGGCAGAAGCAGGAATAAAATATAAGTAACTACAAGCTTGAACGTCAAATGATTATCTTATGCAGTGAGCAGTCTTTAAAAAAAAAAGTAAATGACAGGAACAGTTTGAGCATAAATACAAACACATTTATGATAAACAATATATACCCTCCTGGAGACATCTACCACGATCAAGGTTTACATGCACCATGACTGCACAATGACACCCGTTGACAGTAAGAAAACCTACATTCGTTATTCTATTTCAAACACAGCGAACGTACTGGACCAAAGGAAATCCTATACATGAGTCTTGGCATAACTTTTACACTGGTTTTAATGAGACAAGAAAAAAAAAAGTGTTTATTTGACTGAAGACAGCCCAAATATCTTCTTCACTTCACAGCACAAAGGTAGTTAAAGGTATCTTAGAAGTCTTGTCACTTGTCTAAGAAACTGACAACAGTGATGTTAGTAACTTGGGTAAATGCCATAAATATCAAGTTCTAAAGACCAGACACACACCTTCACAAAGACTAAATAGTGACTCAGTTGAAGTTTGAGGGTCAAGGGATTCACCAGGCTGGAAATTAATTTTCAACACAGATAGACTGTTAGCTACATTAACTGTTCTAAAAAGAAGTTTCCTACGGACAGCACAGCTGAATGGTTTATGTTTACAGTTCTTTCCAAAAATTGCATGTTAAATTTGCTTCACTCCAAGGAGCGAAGAAAAACCGGAAGCTGTATCTCGACTAATCTTGTATGAGACTTAGCAGGGCAAATTCTGACCCAAGTGAAAAGAATAAAGCCTATTATCTGTATACAAGTATAACCTGGAAAACAATTTTATCTTGCAGCCAGAAGGATGCTCCCAGTGGTGGCTGAAGCCTTCAGCCCATTGTCCTCGCTGCGCCGGTATGGCCAACGCCACAGAAGCAAAGCAAGTCCAAATCGCATGTTTGTGGGTATAGCCATCAGCTTCACCGGCCTTTCCCCCGCCTGCCGACCGAAAGGCTGCCTTACAGCCCTTCAGCCGCACTGAGACGGGCCCAGGAGCACCCGCGCCTCAGGACGGGCCCCCGAGGGCGCCCCGGGGCAGGGTACGGGCCGGAGCCTCCCTTACGGGGCTTCCTCTCCCACTGCAGAGGAAGAACGCACGAACCACGGCAAAACATCAGCATAAAAGTGACATAAAACGGAGAGGGAGGGGCGAGGTGGGCGCCCC